GGGGCCGGAGCGCCGCCGGGCAGGGGGTTCTGGGCAGAGCCGGGCGCAGGCTGGCACCCGCTGTGTCTCCTCTCTGCGGAAAGCGTTCCATCCTCCCAGTGCGTGGATTTAAACACAGGAGCTCCTTTAGGCTGAGGTTATCTTCTTTATGAATTATAATTATTATAATTATTTAATAGTACGATAGCATCCAGAGGCCACAAATAATTAGTGGGTCTATTCCCATCTGTAGTAACAATGCTTCTCCAGTCCTAAGCGGTGCTTTTGGACGGGGTCTTGCGTCTTTACGGAGCCAGTGCCTATCACTGCTCTGATGGCTGGTGGGTGCGTGGGGAAACGGAGGCACACAGTGAAGAAAGACACTTGCTAATTCCTAAATTCCCCTGGTAGCCGGTGTTGTCTAAAGCGCATAAAGATAAAGGGGGGACTGACTGCTAGGTGGCATTGGAAATCCACTTAAAGGCAGGAATTTGTATTCTGAAACGACTTCTCCCTCTCTCTTGGTGCTGGGAGGCTGCAGCCGCAGAGGCCTCCCACGCTGGCTGCCAGGACGGGGCTGCCCCTCGGGGGGGGGGCTGCCGGCGCCCGGGGCTGAGCCCCCAGGAGCCTGGCCGGCACAGTCGCCTCTGTGCACTGCTGGGTGGTGAAGCTTTTCCAGTTTTTTTTCCAGAAATGTGCTTCGGGGACAGCTTGTGGCTTTCTAATCCGATTCCTGGCATGCGAAGGAGCACAGGGAGTCCCGGGCTGTCAGGGCTCCCCGGCCCAGCCGGCGGCTCCACTTCGTTGCGGTGGGTGTTGGCTCCAGGCAGGCGCCCGGGCACGGTTCTCTGGGGTGAGACGTTCCTCCCGGGGGAGCGTGGCGTGGTGGGGGGTCCTGTGCTGAGCTCTGAGCTCCGTCTCCCGTGGCCTTTGTGCCGTGTCCTTCCCTCGCTGTCAGCGCTGCAGGAACAGCCCGTGTCAGGGGTGATGCCGGACCCCACGTGCGTCCGTGCTGGGCACTGCCTGGGCTCACACGCTCTCCAGGCCGGATCGCTGCGCCCGACGTGTTCCCATGGCTGTGCAAGGCCTCTCCGGGCCTCAGAGGAACGTGATGCTGCCCACGCCATGGTCGCTGGGCGGGCAGGGCGTTCTCCTCCCGCTGTGGTCTCTTCTGTAGCCCCTCGGAAAGGTGCTGAGGGACGCTCGCTTGCTCTTCCATGGTGGCTGAGGGAAGCTTTGGGATGTGAATCAAACTCCTGACCTCACCCTGCTCCATACAGCTGCCCATGTTCCCCTGGCTGGGTCACCCTACCTCTTGTGTCTCATTTTAAATGGTGATATCTGTGCTCCTCCCAGCTGGGAGCGGTAGAAGAGCAAGAGGTAGCAGCGACAAGAGACACTATGTCGTGACAGCCATATTGGCATCCGTGGGAGAGAGAGGAATAATTTGGCTTCTGCAGGCTTTGTGCAAAGGCTTTTTACTTCACCGTGTCTCCTGACCACGGAAACTCTCTATCTGATGACACCAGCACGTCTGCAGTCGAAGGAGAGAGGGGTCAAGGGCCTCAGCGTGCTGGGAGTGGGGTCTTGTTGCTTCTTCCCCAGCTGACGGGGTCCCTTGCACCAGGAATTTGCCACGGTGTGTGGTGAGGGCGGCCGGGAGCCCCAGGCAGCCCTGGGGAGGTGACCGCAGGGTGCCCGGGGGTGATGGCGCCTCAGGGAGGCAGGGGACGGGGGCTCCCTGCTCTGGCCGGGCGGCCAGAGCCTTCTCCCAGGCCCCGTGGCTGGGAGAGTGACTAATTTTCCTGCAGCGCACTCCAGCCAGTGACCTAAATAGAGACGCGTGCGGATCCCCGGGCTCATGCGAGCTGCCGCTTGCACCAGGCCCCGGCTGACGCAGGGGGGGACCCGTGTGTCGGTGACGCTCCCCGGGGGTGCCAGGGGTGCTGCAGAGCACGAGGGGCCCAGGGCACTGCATCCGCCATCCTCAGCCAGGCCAGCCCGCCTGTTCCTGGTGGAGCCCCCGGGTGTTTGAGCAGAGCCTAAGACCTTGCCTGGAACGGTCCTGGGGGGAGGAGGTGAAGCGCTGCGGGTGTGCCGGGAGGCGGCAAGGGCTAGGGGAGCTGCTCTGGGGGTGTGAGGGGAGCGGGACCCCCTGAGCCCCACGGCACATGGCTGGAGGAGGGACGCGTGTCCTCGCCACGAATGCTGAGCGCCGAGGAGGGGCAAGAGCTGCGTGAGCGGAAGCGCTATATTGGCACGAGCACAGTCGGATATAAACTGGCCGTGACTAAGTGCCTGCAGGAAATCAGAAGGGCTGAGAGCCTCCAAGCAGCTGGGTGCTGGAAGAGCATCCAAGAGAACCGCAAGGGTAGGGCATGAGCTGCCTTCGTGGTGGAGCTTCCCCAGCGAGGAACTGGATTTTGGGTCTGCTCACTGCCCAAGGAGGTGCTCTTAGTCCTCCATCCGCAGCTCCCACAGATGCTTCAATCCGAGTACAAACGAGTCCTCTTGGAGCCAAGGCGGGATTAAGCTCTGCTGCTGAGTGATATGTCATGAACCGGGCTCCTGCCCCGGCCTCTGCTGAGAGCAAACGCCTCATCCTGCAGTGCCACCTGGCTCTGTCACCGGCAGCACCTCTCGCCTTTCCAGCCATCGGGAAAAGCAAAGGGTTTGTCCCAAGAGAAGCCGTTGTCCCCAGTGAGCGGAGCTGGGTAATTAGCTGTTCTCTTCTGCAGTTCCAGGAGAATATAACTTCCTCTCTCATAAATCTAATCTTCTGGCTTCCTGCGTCTTGAGGACAAGATTTATGTGTCTGCTCTGGTTTTCCCTCTGCCACCGACATTACCAGGAGGATGAGGCAGAGGATGGGTGGAGAAAGGGCCAAAGCCATCCCAGGGACAGGGAGGATTGTTGACGGGTGTGGGGGCAGCTGGACCCTCCGTTGGTGCCTGCGGTCCTGCATGCGGTGGCTGTAGCTGGGGTCTGCCCAGCAGCCTCACCGGTCCCGAGCTGGTGTCTCCTGCAGGACACCGACGTCCCTTGAGTCAGGAGGAAGAGCTGAGCTGGGCCTTGCTGCCCCAGGGGACGAGGAGGAGGAGGAGGAGGCAGGCGGGCAGCTGGAAGCTTTCCCACTGCTCTGTGGTATTTTTGGTGGGTGCAGGTAACTTCCTGGACATGACAGTGTGAGGCAGGGCTCTGTTCCTCTGAGGTCAACCCGGCAGCCACCACCGGATGAGTCTCAAGATACAAACCCAGAAGATTTAGTGCATATCTCACAAAATTCACCATCCATCGGTACTGGTTGAAGAAGAGCGGCCTAGTCACGGGGCCCATGGCTCTCCAAGGGGAGAGTCCCAGGCCCCTGAGAGGCTGCACCGGCAAGGCAGGGGCTGGCGAAGCAGGACCAGGGTTGGGATCCCCCCACCCGAGGCGGCGCGGCAGTCAGGGATCTGCAGGGCTCTGGGCTGGGGAGGGCAGCCGGGCTCACAAATCCCCCAAGGAGTGTTTGGTGTTGGGGGGAGCGAGGACAATGTGAGGATGGGGCACTCAGCACCTGAAGTTCAGTGGCATCTGCGGCTGGGCCATGGGAAGTGGTTCCTGACGCTTCCTTGGCTCCTGGTCTCGCCCAGCAGAGGAGACGTCGTCCCCAGCTGCGCTGAGCTCCCAGCTGAGGCGGGGAGCCCACGCTGAAGTACTCGTGTCATCTATTGCATTACAGTGGCGTCGTCTGGTTTGGCCTATACATCATCCGATGTGACCTGCTGTCTCACCTCATTCATGCGCTCGTAATTCCCGTATGAGCTAGAGGAGAAACACTCAGACCTTAAAAAATTGCTGAGACAGAGGATCCACCACAGCACAGATCCTTCCTGAGTTGCTCTGGCCCTGACTGGCCTCACTTTTTAAGAAATTTACTCCTCTGACTCCCCCCGATTTTCAGCTGCTTGGCTGGA